CTTCTACCCCATCAATGCTCAAACTAATCAAGGAAAAATGGGACAAGCCACCATCTACAGTACAAATCTCAAGAATAACTGAAAACCTGTACAAGACACATGGAACAGACACCGAGTTTTGGGCCAAACATCTTACTCCCAATTCTATAATTGTTGAGTCCAACCAGTCCAGAGCCAGAAATGTCTTCAGTGGCCCCTACTAGAAGGAGGGTTGGAAAATTGACATCATCTGTAGAAGAATTTATAGGCTCCAATCCTTTTCACTTAGAGTCACCAACTATCAAGCGGCGATGGGTGCTTATCAGTGCCAACTTTGGAACAAAATTTTCCCGATACTGGAATCCGCACCTGAATTAATCAAAACTGAACTGATTAATGCCCCTACCAAGGCCAACTCGCTGGCAAAATTACAAAGGATTGCGGCTAGACACGCGGCCGACATGGCATCAAAGACCCTAGCATCCTTGATAGCATTGTGCTGACACACCTGGCTTAGATCCACCGGACTGTCTGATGATGCCAAGGATAGAAGACCTTCCCTTCGATGGCACAGGTCTCAATTAGAAAACAGACGAGACTATGGAAAACCTTTATAAAATACGGAAAACGGCAAGATCATATACCATGTGGACATTGATGTCCAACCTCTGTGTCGGATGACCATTCCTGCTGTTTCATTCAACGGTGAAGGTCATTTATTTATTTATTTATTTACAATATTTTTTAGCCGCACCATTGCCAGTGGCTTCATCACTGACTGCAGCCCGTCTGGCTGGGGAGCACATTGTCTTCATCACAAAATTCATGGCCTATGGGCAAGACAAGAACAATCACTTCACATCAACCATCTTGAGCTCTTAGCGATCATCAGAGCTTTCCATGCCTTTCTTCCAGTCATCAAGGGTCGAGTGGTGCAACTGGCAACGGACAATACAACTGCCCTGTATTATGTAAACAAATAGGGAGGAACACATTCTTTATTCCTCATGTACCTAGCCATCAACCTGTGAGAGTGGTATTACCAACATCACACCTTCCCTATTGCAGTACATCTTTCCACGGACGACAATTACATATCAGATCATCTCAGCCGTATGACATCGAGGACTCACAAGTGGTCCCTCAAGGATACCATTTTTGATCAACCCTGTTGCCGTCAGAGAGTACTTACCATTATTGTCTTCGCTTTGAGTGTGAATGCCAAATGCCGCGTATATTGCTCTCAAGCCAGAGCATACGAGGACTCTATCGAGGACGCGTTCATGACGGATCCGAACAGGGAATTCCTTTATCTGTTCCCACCAATACCACTCATACAATGGACAATTATCCGCCTCCGACACTTTCAGTTGAATGCCATCCTCTTCGCTCACTGGTGGCTGAGCCAACCGTGGATCACTCACCTCAGGTCGATGTCGACGGACTTGTTTAGACTCTCTCTGGTTCCCAACCTCCTAACTCAGAACGATGGGATGGTCTACCATCCAGACCTTCCATCGTTGACAGCTTGGAGGATACTCCTGCCTTGAAGCGCATCTTGGATCGAGCAAGAATACCATCAACTGAGCTTCTATATGCAAAAAGTGGGAAGCCTTCCTTAATTATACAGAAATAAAGAACTTACCTGCAATACTTGTTTCCTTGAAGACACTACTTACCTTCTTACTCCATATCTTCGAATTTGGACTCTCTCATTCCACTTTAAAAATCCATGTATCATCCATCATTGCCCAACAACCAGATAACTCCACGTCAGCAAAAGTTTTATCTCACCCTATGGTTAAAAAATTCCTCAAAGGACTCAATAACATCCATCCACCACATCCATGTATTATTCCCCAGTGGTAACTACAAATTGTCCTTAATGCTCTCATGTGCCCACCGTTCAAACCTATTCAAATCTTGGTTGCTTTCTCTAAAGGCATCTTTTCTATAACCGTTCAAACCAATGGCCTATTCAAATCTTAGTTGCTTTCTCTAAAGGCATCTTTTCTATAACATCAGCAAAAAGAGCCAGAGAGCTTCCTGCTCTTCATTCTGATCCACCCTTTATCCAATTTCATCCAGACAAGGTGGCTTTGTATTTTGGTGTCTCTTTCCTGCCCAAGATTGTATCAGAATTTCATCTAAATCAACCAATTATATTACCATTGTTTTTCCCATCACCATCAATCTCTCTAGAGTGCATGCTCCACCTTCTAGACCAGGGGTTTTAAACTCAATTTACCTGGGGGCCATTGGAGGCAGAGTCTGGGTGAGGCTGGGCCGCATCAGATTTTCCGCCAGGTGGAGCAAGAGCCCAAGGAAGCCGTCCAGGAGTTTCCTTAGCCGGCAGACAGGTGGGCTGGCTGGCAGGCTGCAGTTCTGGATGGAGGGTGCAAGAGGTGCTGTCTTGGGAGAGAGCCGGTGAGTGAGGCAAGGCTTTTTTTTTTACTCTTGACAGCAGAGGACACGTGGGCGCTTTGGGGGGGCAGGCAAGGCGAGGGCCACTAACTATCATCTGGGGGGGCCGCAAATGGCCCCCGGGCCGCATGTTTGAGACCCCCGTTCTAGACATAAGATGCTCTCTTGCATTTTATATTGATAGAACTAAGGCTTTCAGGAAAACTAACAGACTTTTCATATATTTCCATGGACCTCACAAAGGAGGCCCAGCCTCATCACAAACCATTTCCAGATGGATAGTCCAAACTGTTTCTCTGGCATATGAATTATCAGGCAAACCACCTCCTGATCATTTGAATGGACATTCAGCTAGAGCGCTGTCAACATCTACTGCCTGTCAGTGTGGAACTGAGATTCCTAACATCTGTCATGGTCTGCCCCATTGGCCTTTGTCAGACATTACTGCCTAGATGTGAGAGCACGCAATGATGCTGGATTTGGCAGATTTGTATTGGCATCCTTTCTACCATGATGTCCCACCATCCGGTAAGTGAAGCTTGCTAGTCGCCTATATGTGTGCATTCACAGAGGCCATGAAGAAGAAAAAGAGGCTATCTACCTGTAACCATAGTTCTTCTAGCGGTCCTCTGTGAATTCACACATCCCACCCATCTTCCCTTCTGTCCGTCACGGGTTATATTAAATGATTCTTCTGCCTGGCGGACAAATTCTAGGAGCTGAGGAGGTGGGCGGAGCATGTGCTCCACAGGAGAACGTCCCACTAACTTTGTACTTTTAAGCTCTAAAATATTCTGAGACATTCAGCGCAGGAGCAGAACTACCCGTTTGTGTGAATTCACAGAGGACCACTAGAAGAACTATGGTTATAGGTAGGTAATCTCTTTTTCCTTTCTCAGTCTTATTTACATGTCCAGTCCAAGAGGAGCTTCCCTCCAGGTAGAAAGTTCTCACAGTCACCAGATCACAACAATAAAAATTTAATGGATCCACAATGCTTTGAAGTAAATAGGATTTGATATCAATATTTCAGATAGTCACGGGAACGAGGCTTTTATCTTAGATTGCTCTACTTTCATGTGAAGGTAATTTTCTCCCCCTTCTCCCTTTCTCTTTCCTCTCTCCTCCTTCCGATTCAAGCTTGGGGGCGGGGGGAGGATTGCTTCTACCATACTTTTTTTAATTGACTCTTTATATCTATCTCTTTTGTATGTAGCCTGTTTCCCTGAAAATTAAGACCTAACCTGAAAATTAACCCTAGTAGGATTTTTCAAGAGGGTCGTAATATAAGCCCTACCCCCAAAATAAGCCCCAGTTAAGTGAAAACCTGCCCTCCACCATTGTGTAGCAACCAGAAGATGACATGACTTTATTTAACTAAATGTAGATTGTTGTACATGAAAAAAAACAAAACATCCCATGAAAATAAGCCCCAATGCGTTTTTTGCAGCAAAAATTAATATAAGACCCGGTCTTATTTTCGGGGAAACACGGTAGTTATTTGGGTCCATGGAGATTTTCCTTACATAAACAGGTATTTTAACTTAGTCTCTGGTTGAGATATTTTCACCATCCTTTTGCAATCTCTCACTCTTTGTTTTGGGTGTTCCCAGCACTTTGCCAAGATAGCTTCCTCCTCAGTCCGTGCACTCAGATGCGACTTTGGAGTGGAAACCAGCCTTAGCTGATCCCATCCCCCCCTTTTTGTCACCTCTGCTGCTTTAGATGCCACTTTTCCTAGTGGACTGGTGGGGGGGCAGAACCACGGGGGTCCGGTCAGTTTCAGGAGCTTGCCTGAAACCCAACCGGTTCTCGCTGTGACGAAACCCCACCCCATCGATATGGCAAATGTTCTTGATGAAGATATTGACTAATAAGATCAGAATATACAAAGGAGAAATAAAGCACAGTCACCTTTTTGGAACTTGGAAACCTTTATTAAAATAACACCAATGAACTAAACGAGAAGTCATATGATTTAGGAAATAATCTAGATTGCTCAGATTGTTGGTTGATAAATTTCTAGGATGGAATGGGGGTTTGAGACTGAGTGTAATTTTGTTAAATGGTGTGGATAACTGGTGTTTAGAATGTTAAAATATTTTGTAAAATGAATAGTTAATTGTATTATCTGTAATGTGTTTGATTGTCTAAAATAAAGTTGTTAAAAATTATAAAAGAAAAAATAGAAGGCATTTATTGCTGATATTGAAATTAGTGGTTTTCTGTTTAGATTGGCCTCTGTATCCTTGGCTAATTGTGCTCTTTGTTACTGCTGGGACTTTCTTTCTTTCTTTCTTTCTTTTTTTCTTTCTTTCTTTCTTTCTTTCTTTCTTTCTTTCTTTCTTTCTTTCTTTCTCTCTCTCTCTCTCTCTCTCTCTCTCTCTCTCTCTCCCTCCTTCCTGAAGGATTCTTAACGCAAAACAGTGTTAATACTAAAAATAGAAAGAATTGATTGTACCATAATGAAATATACAATGCTAGATCTTACTACCACCAGGCTCAATTACCTCCCAACCTCATTATATGTTACATATAATTACTGTATAAACAATTAAAACTTAAATAAAAATGTATATTCTTTTTTATTTCTACAGGGAATTGTGGGAAATTTAGCTAGTGGTAAATCTGCCCTTGTACATCGCTATCTGACTGGGACATATGTCCAAGAGGAATCACCAGAAGGTAAAATAATAGATAAATTAGTGGAAGCATGTTGTTTGTAGACCTTTTCTCTGCCTATTTGCAGTGGTCCATACTATTAACCTGCAGCTGTCCTATCTCAAATCAGTTATGGAGAACCTCTTATTAGATGCAAATGAGTAAAAACTAAACATCAAAAGCTTACATCTATATTTTAAAAGAGGGTAAATGGGTAATGTGCTACTTTTGTTTCACAGAGTGCATCTTCCCATGAGAGGTCTAAAATGTAGCAGCACTAGCAAAATGCAGTTTCTTTTCCCTTTCTTACCTATCTCTAAAAGGTCTTTCCTCGAGGGGTAAAAAATATTCTTGATCTCATTACAGGTGTAACTGAAATCAGTAAGCAACATGATATATGTGTTTTAGTCCCCCTTGAGATCTCATGTCATAATGAAGATTTGTGGAATATAAACTGCATGTCATTTTTTCCTCATTATTATGTTCAGTTTTTTGGTAGGGTTATTAATAATAACGTTGTAGAACAAGTGAAGTGTAATTATAAGTCTTAATAAGTTTTTTAAAAAATTAAATTCAGTTGAATGAGTGTGATACAGATTTGAATATGCATCCTTGTAGTCTAATGAAGATAGCATTCACTAAAATTAATATCCTGATTATTTTTATTTGTTCTCCTTATGAACTTTTAAATCCAACTGAGACACTGAATTTCTGGTTCCTTCTTTTCCTTACTGGCTGTTCCATTCTTTGCAGATATGGATGCAGGTAACTATATGTCCTCTTCATAACAGCCCTTGTTTTGAAGAGAGGAAGCAAAGCTTTTGTACTAGTTTCTCCCTTGTTTTGTGTACCATTTTTGCTTTCCTTTTAATTTTAAGTTCAGAACACATTTCACTGTTGTCACATGCTGTAGATGTCTCTTAGCAGTAGTCATATGTAGATTCATGTGTCTGTAACAATATCTGTTTAAAGTTAATGCTTCTTAGGATGCCCTCTAACACTATGTTGTAACAACTGTTCTTCAGGGAGGCCAGAAATGGTATTTGGCTTGATTCATGGCCACATATTTGTCCCTCAATACCCAGCTTCCCTGAAAATAAGACCTAGCCTGAAAATAAGACCTAACCTGAAAATAAGCCCTAGTATGATTTTTCAGGATGCTCGTAATATAAGCCCTACCCCCAAAATAAGCCCTAGTTAAGTGAATGCTTCACCATTGTGCAGCAACCAGAAGATGACATGACTGTAAAATAAAACATACTCTGTAAATTAATCCTAATGCATTTTAGGAGCAAATATTAATATAAGACCCCGTCTTATTTTTGGGGAAACACAGTACATATGCAGCTTTTATTCCAGTTGCTCATTGCCAATAGGATGGGGTTGGGAGGAAGATAATACAGTATATGTGGAGTAAGCCACCTCTGATCAGTGGTTGCTGCTAATTTTGGTGAATCATGCCCAGAGCAGTGCTACTCCCAGCATATGCAGTTGCCACCCTCTGAGTAGATGAAGTATGGCTTAGTTGTAGGTTAGCACAAACATTGGAAGTGTAATGTAAATGAAAATACTGGCAAGAATTAGCACAAAAGAACCAAGGCCAAATCCATTATAGCAGATCTCTCTGACTGTTATCTACATTTTATTTTTTTTTAATGGATGTAATATTAACATTTATGTTACTGTTATATTCGAGTGAAATGCAGCCTCATTTGGCTTCAGGGTCTTACCTCCTCCTCAGGTCCTCTCAAATGAGTTGTGCTGCAAACCTAAATGGCTGGTCAGATGGGAAATTTTGGGGGTTCAGAAAGGCAGTATTATTATTAATTGCGGTAAAGGTGTGTTTCCACAAACGTAGATGACTCCACATTAATTATGACATGTCACTTCTGGGATTCTTGTCTAGAAAACTTTCAGTGTCAGATCAGTTGATGTGTACTTTGCTTTGCATTGTTGCCTTCTGAAATGAAATGCAAATTGGAGCGTTCAGAAGCCATTGAGTGAGGGAAATGTATTGATACCTGAACTAAGCTCTGAAAAATCAGATTATTGTTCATGAGTGATGAGGAACTTTGGGAGAATGAGATATAGGAAAAGTACTAAATAAAACTGATAGTCGTCTTTGCACTGTCCTGGCTGCAGTGCAGTGTGCCATATTCCTTAACAAAACAGCACTGAGCTGCTAGTTAGTCTGTAATGGCACATTATATCAACTCTTCCCCAGACGTCAGCCCCAGTACTTTATGTTAGATGCGTCTTCTCTTGGTTTTATTAATATACACAGAGAAAAAAAAAGCAGAATTCTAGTCTGGAAACTCATGTTTTGGTAGCAGCTGTGACACCTTTTCTACCCTTCTTCCATTGGTTAGCTGATGCCCTCTTTCCTACAGCCATCCCAGTTATTTTCAATAGAGTTTAAACCATTATTGCACTGCTCCCTTGATCTGCAAGAGCTGTGTAACAGAGTTCATGTTTGATAAGCCAACTGTCTTGATTTGAAAGCTTATCTGTTATCCCTTAAGGTCAGTTCTAGCTAGAGGATTTGTTACAGATTGCTTTCTTTCATTCTTTATTTGCCACATTATTCCCCCTAAGGGACTTGTAGATATCTCTGTCTTGAAAATTATTTGCTTCCGTAGTGCTCTGCTCTAGACTTTTCCGCTTTCGTCTCTTTTTTGCCTGAGCCAAAAACTGGAAGACAAGTGCCACTATTTCCTCAGTAATTATTTCTGTTTAGAAAGCAATATGGTATGGATCCTGGCATAAACTGAAAATATAGCATAAAGCATGGGTTGGAAAGTCAAATATTCACTGCAGACACTTCATAATATGTTGTATGTATTATTTGCCTCATATTTCTTTCCATGTATGAGAGAATGAGAAGTGGAGTGTATGAAAGATACTGCAGCAGAGTGGCTCCACTTAAGGAGTTTTAACTTTCTCAGGACTCTCGAAAGCAGTGATAAGTTGCACTGACAAAAATTCCAAAATAATTTATAGATGCTCAGTATAATTGTCTAGAAAACTGGCTTTTTCCCCAGGTTTTTTTTTAATTCTAGGAGGAGGGGCACATAATCCCTTTGCACACGCCTCATCCCCGCCTTCACTTGTGCCTCCCAAGGTGAGCTCTCTTCATTCCCACTATGGGGTGACTGAGCCCCCCTGGCTGTGTACTCTGCTTCTGCAGTGGTGGTTCCTTGGCTCTGGTAGCTGACTGGCTGGCTTAGGCGGGGGACTGGGAGCAGGAGGTGGGACCCAGCCAGAGCGCCCGTCAGCCAAGCTGACTGCAACGGGTTGAGAGGCAAGGAGGCAGCTGCACACTGTGGAAACCATCTTAGGGAGGATGGCTGAGGAGGGTGCAACAGCGGAGCCACTGCTTAAAGAGATACCCCCCAAAAAAAACCCCAAACAAAAAAACCCGGTCCCCTTCCTGAGGGGCAAGTTGCCTTCCCTCAGTAAAACCCAATTTTTAACCCACCCTTGTTATTTCCACTTCCCGGAGTCCATTATGGGAGTGTCAAAGGGGGCAAGAGGCTTTAACAAACTGTGAGTGTTCACCTTCGGCGCCCCCTTTCTGACCCCATTATCGAGACATACCACAGTCAAGGTTTTCTTTCAAACCAGTAACATTTACTTTCAATTCAACAGGTAACTTATTTACAGATAACAAATTCTCCACTTTCCCTTCCTCCTTCAATGGGAAGGGTAAAGGGGTTCAAAGCACAGTTTATGGTTTGCCCGGGGCCATCAAAAGCAAGAGTCCCATGGTTCTGGCATGTGGAATAGGGGCAGTGGCTCGAATCTGCCCACCAGTCCCCAGCTCCTAAAGTCGGCTGGGTAGTTGTGACTCCCCACCACCTTGTGGATGACGGTTCTTCTTTGTGGCCTCTGTGAATACACACAAATGGGTTGTTATGCGCCTGCGCTGAATGTCTCGGAAGATTCTAGAGCTTAAAAGTACAAGATTAGTGGGACATTCCCCCGTGAGGCACATGCTTCGCCCACCCGAGATTCCCCTCAGTTCCTTTTTTCCGCCGAGCTGATTGGATCTCCAGAAGAATAAAGCGGTGCACTGTCTGTTTGGAAAAGAAAGAATAACCCTGACACATGTGCACGACCAGTGCCTTTTTTGCTTGGATGAGCAACCATCCAACCCACTCTTGTGCGGCCTGTGTAAAACTAACTAAGCCGGCACTTAAACTTAGGCTCCAGAGGCTCCGGTCTTACCTTTGGGAGACGGCTATGAATCCTCCCTCAGCTTCCATGGGGACAGCAAGATCTCCAGAACCGTCGGTTGAGAGGCAAACTCTATCCCAGCCTGCTCCTGACCCATTGACACCTTCTCCTCAATCTAAGGAGAGCTCTGACAAGGCCGGGTCAACATTGAAGCAAAAGTTGACATCGATATTGAAGGCATGGCCCATGACTCATCTTAGAAAAAGAAAGCGAAACCAATTACAAACAAGAGAAAATGAGTTAAATGAGTCCACATTGAGCCTTCACAAGCAACTCTTTCATCACCAATTCTGGAGGAATCCTCAAGAGAGGCTCATGGCTCAACATCTGAGAGGGAGGAACCACAACTAACAGTGGCTCAGGCTCCAGTGTCAACCGGGAGCCTGTCTCCCCACACTCCCCCTCTCAATAGCTGATTACCGAGCCAGGCCTTGGCCCATTCTAGCCCTTCCTCAGGGTGGGCAGTTGAGATACAACTCTCAGGATCGGAGTCCTCACACCGCTCTCTCCGATAACACCAGGAGAGGCACAAGCACATCTCACCTCCTTGGCATGTTCCTTCGTATGGAGAGTACTATCATTACCACCAGCTTCCATGGCATCATCATTATGACATTGATGAAAGATATCAGTATTATGATCCCTATCTGGTGGAGGTGCAACAAGAGCATTTTTATTACGAAGAGCTGAAATGTGTCAGATATGCATTACCGTACCAACAGGGATATCCGTTATCACAATCCCCATCACCACCACAACGTCGACACAGCTCACAGAAATACAAACCGGTCTTTCCTCCACCTCCGGTCCCACCCAAGCCAACTCTGAAGCGTTCGATATCGACAGCTCATACTGATCACTCATTTTCCATGTCAATTTCAAACCAGATTACACCCATTTTTTCATTCCTGGCAGAATATAACTAATGACCAATGGGTCCTTTTTATAATCAAATAAGGCTATTTTATTGAATTTGAATCTCTTTCGCCTATAGTAAAAATTAAAACTACCCCATACTCTGTAGTTCTTCAGGAAGAAGTTTCTTCACGTCTTCAGAAAAATGCCATAATTAAAGTACCTTCACTGTAATGGTTTCTATTCAAGATACTTCACATTTGACCCTTCTGATCTCGAGCTCCCATACCAGCCCATGATGTCCAACATCTCCTTAAGCTCATGGCATCTACAACATCTGTGATTCAGCATGCCCGACTCAAAATGAGGTCGCTCCATTTGTGGTGAAGGTTCCCCTTGACAATTTTTGTCCAGTCGTGTTCAACTCTAGGAGGCGGTGCTCATCCCCGTTTCTAAGCCATAGAGCCAGCGTTTGTCCGAAGACAATCTTCCGTGGTCACATGGCCAGTGTGACTTAGACACGGAACGCTGTTACCTTCCCACCGAAGTGTTCCCTATTTATCTACTTGCATTTGCATGCTTTCGATCCGCTAGGTTGGCGGGAGCTGGGAAAATGGACGGGAGCTCACTCCGTCGCGTGGATTCGATTTTACGACTGCTTGGTCTTCTGACCC